AAAATTATCTGCCTGGGCTTGAAAAAATGGTATATTTTTATTAATTTAATTTCCATTCCATATTGTCACAACTAACTAGCAAACAAAAAAGTTGCTGCAATGAAATGTATATCGGCCGCTATAACTAAAAGGCGAAATTTACTTAAAACAGAAATACAATCTTCAATGATTTCTGACTAAAATCAGTTAGATGTCGCCATCCTTTTTTTCTTGATAGCCCATGGCAACGTAGCTTCGAAAAATACCGGTTTTAAGTAAATTTCCGCCACTGTATTCTTTTTGTGTTAAATTTAAGGTGCTCCGAAATAATCATTTTATTGAAAATAATAATTGTTATGAAACTTCAATACTGTACAAGTGTGAAAAGTATAATAATTTTAGCTTAATAGGAGAAAGTATAGAAATTTACAGGAATAAACTTTTATCAAGTTATTGGACGGAAATTAATGTAATTGGATATAAAATTGAATTGTTAGAAAAACAAAGCTTTGAATATCCGAAAGAATTAAATAACAGAATTATTGAAATTGGCAATAAAATAAGTAAAAAATTTCTAATGTCTATCTTTTCATTGGCTAAAAATTTTCTTTATTAATTATAGGTGGAATTATTGAAGTAAATAAACGTAAGTGTTTTAATTGTGGAGTTACACAAACAAAAAAGTGGTATAATTTACTAAAAGAACATTACTTGTGCAAAGAATGTGGCGTATATAAACACAAATATGGAAAGTTTAGATCAAATGAATTATGGTTTAAGACTACAAAGGTTATCTATTTCAATAATTGGGAAGATTTTTCAATAATTCATTCTCGAAACAAATTATATAAACTTTGGTACTTTATGTTTATATCGCACACTCCTATTTTGAGTCTCTGTTATATAATGGTCAGACTTTTAACTCAATTTCTCTCAATTTTGCTTTAGCAAGTCTAATGAGAGAATAACAGCCATACACTACTTATAACGCATTCCCTCTCTACACTAGTGAGGTCCTATTGTTAATATTTTATTCTTTAAATAATGGGGCGAAAAGTTATAAAATGGGGCGTAAAGTTATACGAAAATTTATACGCTATTTTGTACCATCACAAGCTCAAAACTTGATATTTATTTAAAACTTTCAACAGTATCATTCTACAGGGTGCCTCAAAAGTCTTTGCCCGCACATTTTTTAGCATAACTTTATTAAAACTTAATCAAATAATATCAAAATACAATCAAATAATAGAGAATTAAATGGAGAAGAAAATAAATCAGGATTTTTCGAAATACCTTCCTTTAGCTTTAAGATAGAAGCGCAAACGCAAACAAAAATTTTTGCAAAATTGCCGCACCTCCTTGGTTCCTCTTTTCAGATGCCCTGATTATAAGGATAAAGTGATGCAAGGGTGTCTTGTTGCCAATTTCCTCGGTTTTAGTGTGCCTCAAATAGTGCTACCGTACACACCGGGTTTGAATCCGTGGATTTATCTTTTTGGTCAATTTTAAAGGCAACGTTCTCCGTAGCAGCACAAAAACAGTTTTTCCTGCGAAGATTCTGTTGGTCATAACTTTGTTCAGAATCATCCAATCGAGTTGATTTTGGTGTCATTCAACTCAGCTCGTCGAGCCCTTTCGAATGAGCTATCATAAGTAAAATCGAATTTTTCACCCCAAAAATCAGCTTGGTCCCCCCTATGGTATTCGATTTTCAGGGGTCTGAAAATCCGGGAAAAAATGCTATTGCCGACCGTTTTGAGCACTTTTATAGTGATATTTGAACTCAGCGCATTTTATTACGATAGAAAAACATGTTTTTTGTTGTGTTGCTAAGGTGAACTCTAGCCTACATAAGTATTATTTAATAAATATTTTAGCGAATCACACCTGATCGAAATTGTTTTATTTGCTTTGCAACAAAAACATCACAATGGTACCGTCATTCAAAACCTGTACAATATATATGCAAAAGTTGTTACAATAAACAAAAAATGATAAACAAGATAAAAATTAAACATTAAATAATACAGTAATCGATTAAATAATATTTAAATTATTATGATTTTTTAAAATAAATTTGATGAGTTTATTGAACAAATTATAAAACAATGTAAAATATAACCTATGTAGATTTTCCATGTAGATTTTTACATTATGTCAGACAATTAAAAATTATCCTTATTTCATATTCATAATTAGTTGAATCTATAATTCCAAAATATTAATAACAAAACAAACTTCAGAAATTGATAGCAAATTTATAAAAAAGTCTGAATATAAAACCTACAACCATATTCTATATTATTTCGTCGTCGATAAAGTTAGTGTGATAAATTTTGCGCTTAAGACCGCAAGCAATCGTGGCAGTCAGCGTCGTCTACAGCTTCAGCCCGTCTATGTTAAGTGCAAAATGTACGCAAAAGTGAAAAGTGATCGAAAATTGTTGCAAGATCAGTAGGAGCATTTAGAGAATATGCTGATTAGTCTCAAATGATTTAATATCCTCTTATCCTAAATCACTCGATATACTCCTTAAGCAACTAAATGCCGATAAAACACTATAGATTTTTCATAATAGGCCTCAAATCAAATTCCATCATATCATACAATATTTCCCTCAACCTCTGGATACATATTAAACTAGGTTCTGAACCAGAATATATTCAGGGTATACATAATGATGCTTAAAACTGAGTTATAAAAATAGAAATAATCTGAGAAATTATTTTTACATCCTGATTCTTAAGTTCTGAAATATCAATACTTAAATTTCTGTCTTGATATGCAGACGAGTAATGTCCGTCGTCTCCAGGTCCTTAAAGCAGATTTCACTGGTAAATAAAAATAATTTATTATTTATAATCTCAGCGACACAAAAATTAGTTAATCGGTTAATAACCTAAGAAAAATTATGGTAAAGAGGAAAGAAGTAGAATGCAGCAAAAATGTTAACCGATGATAACTTCTTACTTAACTTTATATATTTTAAAACCGATTTATTTTATTATTAAGGAATAACTAAATTATTTTTTAAATTTTGAAAAGTTATCCAAAAGTAAATTTGAATGATAAATCAAAAAGTCTAAGAGTCTCTCTAAATTTGAAACAATAACCGAGTTTGATTTTAAGTTTATCTATTTTTGAGTAAATTAAATATTTAGACATTGCACAAAATTTAATATATTTATAACTTTCAATTTTTAGCCAAAACATACTAGAGAATTAAAGATTGTTCAACTAGAGGGGATTTTTATTAGTTAAGCAAACCCAAATGAAATAGAGTTCAGTGAAATTCAGGATGAATTTTATTTAAACAAATAAAATAAAACAAAAACAAAGAAGAAAAGGAAAACAAGAAAGAACATGAAAAATTATTGATACAAAGAATTAAATTCTATTACTGTTGAAATTTTAGGATGGTATATTTAATTATTTGGTTATAATTTCTTTAATTTCTCCTCACTTATTATTATCCCCTATTGTGAAAAATTAAAAATAATAATGCACTATAATTTATTTTAAAACTCCAAAAGTAACAATTAAAAATTATTTAGGATGCAGAATGGGCTTATTTAAAATACTGGTATAGTATAGTATACCGGAGGCAAAATTACATTCAAACCATTCGATTCTTATCGGCGAGCTGCGACAGATACCGCTCTCGTTTAACGGAAATGCTTATGGTCCGAGATATAGGTACTCATTCTATTGTTTTTTGATTTTTGAGGCCATATATCTCGGATATATATAGCCGTATATAGTAAGTGCTATTGATCGACTCAGCTCGCCGTGATACATTGAATGTTATGTGCTTTTTATCGCAATTTTGCTTGTTGTATAATGATTATGTTCTTTTTTATATGTAATATATACATACATATCATATAATTAAATATGATATGCAGAATTTTGCATTAATTTTATGTCCCAATAGGTTTTAGTTGAATTCTAATTTGCTTTCTTAATTTTTTGTTGTTTTTTGTAACAGGCATTACATATATATTGTTCAGGTTTTGAATGACGGTACCAATTTGATGTTTTAGTAGAGCCACAAGTATAACAATTTCGATCAAGTGTAATTTGCTAAAATATTTATTAAATAGTACTTATGTAAAGTAGATTTGACAGTAGAAAAGTTCTTTTTCTTATAGAATGTTAAGTTAAAAATTTAATTATATTTAATCATGGGAATTAAATCTTACTAACATTTAATAATAGCAAACCTTTTTCGTCTTAATAAGCAAGCTTTTAGGTCTATGCTTTACATATATTCGATTATATTCACCACAATTACGACACAAATAGTGTTCTTTGAGATATTTATCCCAAGATGTTTTAATTTGTTTAACATTACAATTGAAACATTCTCGCTCCTTCTTTTCAATAGTTACTCGTATAAAAATAAGATAAAACGTTATTTGCTAGTTATTTTTAGCTTGATATGACAACTGGGATATAATTATCCAGTCAAATAATATAAAAAATTTTTATTTACCTATTTTATTTCCAATGTCAATAATTCTGTTTTTTAATTCTTTCGGATATTCAATTTTATGTTTTTCAAACAATTCAATTTTATATCCAATTAAATTAATTTCCGTCCAATAATTTAATAAAAGTTTGTCTTTGTAATTTTCTATATTTTCTTTTAATAATTCTTTTTCATTTATTTTTAGATTTTCTAAACTCTCATTTAATATAGAAGTTTCATAATATTTGTTCATCTTCTTAATAAATTCAGTAAATCTGAGCACCTTTTATGAATGAATTAGTATAAATATTAGTTGAATAGTAATAGAATACTCCATGTATATACCCCCTGATTTGAGTCTCAGTTATTATATAATTTTTCATTGTTGGCTTATTTGTTCAAGCAATAACGTTTACTTTCTACTTAAAATCTTTGCTATAATGACTGATCGCCACAAAGACAGAAAGAACAATAAGAAGAAACTAAGATTAGGAAAATGCAACAAAATTCATTATTATTATGATTTTTAGACTTTATTTTCAAGTAATCAAAAAAATACCTGTTTTTCAAATCTAGGATGAATATTTTGAACAATTTTATTTTTGCCAATATCAATTAATAGTTTTCTTTGTAATTCTTCAGGATATTCTGATCTATAATCAATCTCAACATTAAAAATATTTCGTTCGCTGTTTACTTCAATTCGACACAAAAAACCCTCAATATTATAATTAAAGCTACTACCAAATCTATTATTACATTTTTCAATTTTTTTCAATACAAAACGCTCTTTTAGTTCAACATTTTTTAAATAAATAAATTCTCTTTTTTCTTTCCAATCATCTATAATTTTTACTACTATACTAACACTTCTTCCATCACATTTAATATTCAACATATTACACTTGATCGAAATTGTTATACTTGTGGCTCTACTAAAACATCAAATTGGTACCGTCATTCAAAACCTGAACAATATATATGTAATGCCTGTTACAAAAAACAACAAAAAATTAAGAAAGCAAATTAGAATTCAACTAAAACCTATTGGGACATAAAATTAATGCAAAATTCTGCATATCATATTTAATTATATGATATGTATGTATATATTACATATAAAAAAGAACATAATCATTATACAACAAGCAAAATTGCGATAAAAAGCACATAACATTCAATGTATCACGGCGAGCTGAGTCGATCAATAGCACTTACTATATACGGCTATATATATCCGAGATATATGGCCTCAAAAATCAAAAAACAATAGAATGAGTACCTATATCTCGGACCATAAGCATTTCCGTTAAACGAGAGCGGTATCTGTCGCAGCTCGCCGATAAGAATCGAATGGTTTGAATGTAATTTTGCCTCCGGTATACTATACTATACCAGTATTTTAAATAAGCCCATTCTGCATCCTAAATAATTTTTAATTGTTACTTTTGGAGTTTTAAAATAAATTATAGTGCATTATTATTTTTAATTTTTCACAATAGGGGATAATAATAAGTGAGGAGAAATTAAAGAAATTATAACCAAATAATTAAATATACCATCCTAAAATTTCAACAGTAATAGAATTTAATTCTTTGTATCAATAATTTTTCATGTTCTTTCTTGTTTTCCTTTTCTTCTTTGTTTTTGTTTTATTTTATTTGTTTAAATAAAATTCATCCTGAATTTCACTGAACTCTATTTCATTTGGGTTTGCTTAACTAATAAAAATCCCCTCTAGTTGAACAATCTTTAATTCTCTAGTATGTTTTGGCTAAAAATTGAAAGTTATAAATATATTAAATTTTGTGCAATGTCTAAATATTTAATTTACTCAAAAATAGATAAACTTAAAATCAAACTCGGTTATTGTTTCAAATTTAGAGAGACTCTTAGACTTTTTGATTTATCATTCAAATTTACTTTTGGATAACTTTTCAAAATTTAAAAAATAATTTAGTTATTCCTTAATAATAAAATAAATCGGTTTTAAAATATATAAAGTTAAGTAAGAAGTTATCATCGGTTAACATTTTTGCTGCATTCTACTTCTTTCCTCTTTACCATAATTTTTCTTAGGTTATTAACCGATTAACTAATTTTTGTGTCGCTGAGATTATAAATAATAAATTATTTTTATTTACCAGTGAAATCTGCTTTAAGGACCTGGAGACGACGGACATTACTCGTCTGCATATCAAGACAGAAATTTAAGTATTGATATTTCAGAACTTAAGAATCAGGATGTAAAAATAATTTCTCAGATTATTTCTATTTTTATAACTCAGTTTTAAGCATCATTATGTATACCCTGAATATATTCTGGTTCAGAACCTAGTTTAATATGTATCCAGAGGTTGAGGGAAATATTGTATGATATGATGGAATTTGATTTGAGGCCTATTATGAAAAATCTATAGTGTTTTATCGGCATTTAGGTGCTTAAGGAGTATATCGAGTGATTTAGGATAAGAGGATATTAAATCATTTGAGACTAATCAGCATATTCTCTAAATGCTCCTACTGATCTTGCAACAATTTTCGATCACTTTTCACTTTTGCGTACATTTTGCACTTAACATAGACGGGCTGAAGCTGTAGACGACGCTGACTGCCACGATTGCTTGCGGTCTTAAGCGCAAAATTTATCACACTAACTTTATCGACGACGAAATAATATAGAATATGGTTGTAGGTTTTATATTCAGACTTTTTTATAAATTTGCTATCAATTTCTGAAGTTTGTTTTGTTATTAATATTTTGGAATTATAGATTCAACTAATTATGAATATGAAATAAGGATAATTTTTAATTGTCTGACATAATGTAAAAATCTACATGGAAAATCTACATAGGTTATATTTTACATTGTTTTATAATTTGTTCAATAAACTCAGAAAATTTATGTTAAAAAATCATAATAATTTAAATATTATTCAATCGATTCCTGTACTGTTTAATTTCTATTTTTCTTCTTGTTTATCATTTTTTGTTTATCGTAACAACTTTTGCATATATATTGTTCATGCATTAAATGATGGTGCCAATGTGATGTTTTTGATGCTCCACAAGTAAAACATGTCCGATCGTTTGTAATTCGCTAAAATATTTAAAAAAATAGGAGTTGAAACTATTTCTCATATCAAATATTTTAAGGCTATTATTATAATTTTCAACGATTGCTTCTAAATACTTTGCAGTTAGAAGTTAAGATTTTTAGTTCTTAAGTTTTTTTTTTGTCTAAGTTTACAATTCCTACACGCGCAAAAAGTAATGTTCCTGTAGATACTTAAGAAAATATTAAAATCCATTTAAATAAATGAGATCGCTAATAATTTCTTAAAATATGCTCTAAATATTTAAAACTACTGATATACTTTTAAAAAGTATTGTTAATTATATTATGAATAAATTTAAACCATGTTAGTTTGATAAAAATATCCATCGGGTCTAATTTTGCCATTATATATTTTATATTTGTGACATGCAATGCACAAATAATATTCATTTAGGTATCTATACCATTTTTTGGTAATTGTGAATCTACAATTGAAACATTTTCGTTTATTTCCTTCAATTATTCCTCCTATAATAATAAAGAATAATATGTATGTGTATTTTTTGGACATATAAACAAATAAAAAATTTAAAAAACTATTTACTTATTTCACTGCCGATTTTAATAATTCTAATTTTTAATTCTCCCTTCTCAACTTTTTGTTTTTCTAGCAATTCAATCTTATATCCAAATAAATTAATTTCAGTCCAATAACTTGATAAAAGTTTGTTTTTGAAAAATTCTATATTTTCTAAAAATTCTATATTTCCCACTCAGGCTAAATGATTTCAAAAGAAGAATTTGAAATAAAAAAAAGAAATGCAGCCTGAAATTAGGAGGAAGGTCATCTTTCGCAAGCGAAAAGAGTGGATAAGTTGAATGCACAATTAAAAATGAGACTAGTAAAATAATATAGGAAATAAAGGTCAAGGCAGCGCTAGCAGAAGTTAATGGAGTATGTGAGAAAAATTGAGATTTAGATGAAACTGACGCGGAACAGATATCCCAAATTTCGGCACATACAATTACAATGTTGATGAATAATAACGGTATGACATAATATTGGCTATGACAATATTATGCAATTAAGAATGGCAATGGATGCCAAATGAAAGTAATGAGTATTAGGGTCAAGTTGATATAAAATCATGTTTCCATGATTTCTGTTGTTTCGACGATTAACTGTGGCCAATAGGCACACAGATTTTTTAAATAATTATATAAATTTTTTGTAAAATAATTAATTTAAAAAATGAAAAGATTTTTAATGAATATTTTAATTTAATTAATGTTGGAGGACAAATACTGTTGCTAAGGTAAAATATTTATGTAAATTTATAAATATGGAATAAATATGAGTTTATATTGAATATTCGAAACATAGAAATAATATAGAAGAAAAACCATACATTACTACAGTGTGTCCAATAATGATACGTCCACACTAATTTCTACCGATTTTGATTTGTTATTGATATCTAATCTTATTTATATTTTTTATAATGAAAATTTTTGCAAAAATTCCTGTGAATATTTCCACTGATAATAAGTAGAAAAATAAAAAGAACGAAGTCTTTAAGTGCTTTTGTGATAGAGATACAAAATCTCGAAGATCAACGGGAAATGTGGGCTACAGTAACTAAAAATATTTTCACAAGTGTAGACTGTACATGAAATTTTTTATTGTAGCCCATCTGAAAGCCCACAAAATTTGCTACAAAAAACACTTAGTCCTATTCTGAAGAAAAATTCTACCTTCGAGTAGACCAGGGTTAAATGAGAAGATGAATAAATTCGCCCAAATCACCCCATAAAATGTCATTCTTTCGAGTTTCTAAAATTAACCCTAGTCTCCTCAAAGGTAGAATTTTTTTCCAAGATAGGACTAACTGTTTTTTGTAGCAAATTTTGTGGGCTTTCAGATGGGCTATAATAAAAAATTTTATTTACAGTCTACACTTGTGAAAATATTTTTTAAATAGATTTACCCCTGTTTTACGTTGATATTCGAGGCAACAGAATCTCGACTTCGGATAAAGTTATGGGCCTAGTTCTTTTTTATTTTCTCTTAATATCAATATACAAGTTTACTGGAATTTTTGAAGATTTTTCCTAAAGTTGGAAATACCTTTTTTGTTAAGTGGACGTATCATTTTTGGACAATTTATTTTGATAAAATGATTATTAAAATTTTTCTGATAGATATTTAATCAGGAATACTAGTGCTAATCTTAATATTTTAGTACACTACACTATTATAAAAAATATTAAAATGATTATATATCAATAAATATTAAACTCGGTAAAAATAGGGTGGACGTATATTTATTGGACACACTGTATAGCATACATAAATATTTCCTATTTTTTAATGTTTAATTAAATTCTAGGTGTATACAATAAAAACAACGAGGACATTTTACTGATTAACTTTATTAATCGTAGATTTTGTAATTTTATTAAATGGTAAAATAAATAAAATAGTACAACTTCTGAAATTTTTGTTGACCAAAAAATTTTAAAGTACATATGATTAAATTCAAAAGAATCTGATCTTTAAATATGATTGTACTTTTATGTACAATTTTATGTACGAATTTTTACCCTTGTCACGTGACAAAATCATAAAATGTTTGTGTTATTCTAAAAGACTAGTACTCCTTAAAAGAGTTTAACTCCTTATTTATAAAAGAGTTTAAACTTCTTATTGTAGAGTTTAAACTTGAGGCCACAAATGTTGAGGCCGAAAATGTAAGGCCGCAAGTGTCACAATAGGGGGAACCTCATATGTCAAACCCTCAATATATTCTGGGCCTCACGTTGATAGCCGCAAGTCTGC